GTAAAATTAATAAAACAGGCCATCCTCTAAAAATCAGATGGCATTAGACATTCTAACAACATAAAGAGATACTTATATATGACAAATAAATGACACATCAGTTCCTAAAATTCCCTGGACCTTATCCTCCTTATGGGAAGCCATTACTAAAGTTATGATCATAAATACCCTGTTGATTGTATTATTTGACTCCTGTATCTTAATTGATTCTACAGATACCTTCCACTGTAGGCCAGATCCCAAGACAAAAGGCTAAACTTGGCCCTCAAACCCCACAGGGAGACCTTCTTAATATGGCTCTTAGTGTTTTTAACAACAGAGATTAAAAATATAACAATCTGATCTTCCAAGTGGAGTGACACTTGGAACTCTGAGACAGGTAAACCGACACAAGGTGGAGCTGCCTGAGCCCCTCCTGGATCATGCTTCAAATGCAGCAGAAGGACATTGGGCAAGAGACTGCCCCATCCTGGCATTCCTTTGGGGCCTTACCCCAGGGCTACTGGACTGTCCTAGCCACCAGAGAGTGGGTAAGCCATCCTAACTTCTAGCCCTTACAAGAAATGCCAACACTGCCAGATTCATTGCTGACAGATCTGTTTGGACTAACTGCTGAAGACTGATGGGGTTTGGGGTCCACAGCTCCCATTAAGATATCCTTCTCAATAGTCCCAAGTCCCACTAGAGGTCTCAGGTAAGACATTCTCTATACTTGTGGACATAGAGGCCATGTATAGGGTTCTTCCTGAATTTTCAGGCTGCTACATTAAGTCCTCAGTCTCTATAAGGGGTACCTATGCAGCCTTTACAGATAAGGCCTATTTCATGCAGGTTCCAGATTCGTGCTTCTCTGGTTGATCCCATAGTTTAAGATACCTCTAATCCCACCTGCACTTCCCATACCATGCCTATTTAATTTGTCTCAGGGATCCTTCAATTTTTCCTTGTGTTCCCCAGCATCCCATAGCTTCCAAACATTTACAGGGACATAAACCTATAATTAAGTGCATTTTAGACAATGGTTTTCTTAAACCTACCCATTTACCCTATAATACTCCTATTCTCCTGGTACTCAAGCTGGATGGGTCTTACCCTCTAGTACAGGACCTTAAGATACTCAATAGTGCTGTTACTCCAATCTACCCAGTGGTGCCAAACCCTCCCTCCGCCACTCACTTTACAATCCCAGATCTTAAAGATTCCTTTTTATTCCTTTGTGTTTATAACCCAGACACTCTAAGGTCTCAACAGCTTACACCTGTTATCTCTAATAAAACCTCTCCTCAGGGATACATAGCACCCCCTTCCTTTCCTATTCACCAATTTCTCAGACACAACCTGGTCAAGACTGACAGATAAATTTTATCTTCTCACCTTTGTTTGTGCTTTTTCAGGATAAATAAAAGCCTTTCCCACAATCAGGAAGACTGCTGATATACTTACTAAGGTCCTGTTACATAAAATCATCACAAGGGGGGGCTGGGGATTTAGCTCAACGGCATAAGAACCTGCCTTGCAAGCAGGCGGTTGTGAGTTCGAATCTACCGATAAAAAGAAAAATGAAAAAAGAAAAAATGTAAAATCATCAAAAGGACTACAACCAGCATGGAGCGGTCCATACCTGGTCTTCTCGGCAACCTCAACAGCTGTCAAAGTTGCTAGACTGCCATCCTGGTTTCACATCACTCAGGCTAATTGGTGCCCTTCCAGCCCTAGTTCTAACCATCCTTTTGCCCACTCACCAAAGCCTCACAGCCACAACTTTCAGGCTAAGTCATGTTTTGTTATCCAATTTGGTTCCTAATTTCTTACATTCTATTAATTATCATTTTTACAACAGGACTCTTAACAGTCTTTCCTAAAGACCAGAGACAAGTCTTATCTATGTGCCCTCTTAACTTTTACCCTTTCAGATGGGGGAATAATTACCTCTCATAACTACCCTCTTCCTAACCCCACACTTACTTTTCAGAATTGTACCTCACCGTGGCAATGATTCTACCTCAACATGGTTCTGATAAAATGACACATCTCAATCAAGGGCACCTTTCCTTCTGCCTCACCTGGGTCCTTAAATACGATAGTGGCCTGCCTCCTCATAACACCTTGTCTTTTTATTTTTCCAGTCTAATGTGTGGGCATTCACCAGTGATAAAGTTGTCCTGGTTAAAACACCTGGCACCAGCTTCTACATGGACATCAAACGTCATTCTGTTGACCCTCCTAAACCCCAGTACAGTGCCCCCTTTCAACAGGAATCAGTAAAAGAAAGAAAAACTTCCACCTTTTTTCCTAATAATAAAAAGATGTGAATGAAAGGATTTTGCCCTAAATGAGATGCTGTAGTGGTGGGAGGGATCTGGGAGGTGAAAGGTCATCTTCCCTGCCCCTAAGCAATTTACCTGTGATGTGAAATGAATTCCAATGGGCTACTTGTGCATCAGTAATGCCCCTTAGGCTCCACCCCAACGCTAAACTATGTGTATGCTCCCACAACATGTGTTGGGCAGAGAGAAAGCCAGACCCCAGAGGTCATGGAGTCTCTCTCCGCATTCTTAAAATAAAGGCCACTTTTATTTCATATTTCTTATCTTTTTAACTGCACCAAAAATTCTATCAGTAAGTAAGTAAGTAGTCTTCTATTCAGTAGTGATTACATGGGTGCCCTCCCTCAAATGCCAGAGATGCAGGATACTTTTCTATTTCACAAAATTCACTAGTATAGATTTAAGCAAGAAACAAGAAAATGAAATATTTCATCTACTTTTTTTAAGGATGAAGTTGGCTGTTAGGAAAGATACTCTTGAGGTGTGAAGAAAGTACACATAACTCTTGATCAAAGTCAGAATTGCATAGACGTGATTATATGTTGAGCTTTCACCTCCATGTAGTATTAGGACTGATGGACAAATAATTGTGATAAAAGTACTGTCATGAAGAAAAAAAGAGAGGGACAACCATTCCAATGACAATAAAGTTTGTGAGCTATTTACACAAAATTATCAACTGTACTGTAGCCAAAGCTGTTAAAATTGAACATCAGTGAGCTGTAACATATTACATGCCCTTTTCCAGAGGATAAAATGATAGATGAAACCTTGTAATGGTAAAGACTTGGGAAAACAGGTCATTTTTTACTTTTGGAAGGTTAAAAAAAGTATATCTTATTTGGTTGGTGAAAATATGTGTGTGCTCCTCCACCTGTTCACTGGATCTGCCTCTTCTCCAAAGTCAAAACAATCATGCAAGGTAAACATTTTGAACTGATTCAGGCAGCCAGAAGAGCTTAATTTAGGACAGAAGATAAGACTTTTAGAATTGACTCAGAAAATGACAAGAATGATGATACAAGGTTACTAGAAACAAGCAGACTTATTTTGAGTGGAAATAATGGCAGTGTGTCTATTATAATACAACTGAAAAATCTAAATATGCATTGTGTATTTTGATCATACTGAATACATTTGTGTGCTCCTTCCCTTTGAAATTATCTAAGATTACACTTAGGGGCAGAACTTCTGATATGCAAATGTATTCATGGTATGCAAATGTTCAGCTTTATGCTCTATCAGTTACTAATGTCATGAATAATATATGTTCCTCCATGTTGTTGCTATCACAGTACTGTACTATTGCTGCAGGCAGCTGAGTTAGTTAGAAACATTATAGGCAGTGTGATAGGGCTAGGTCCTCAATGGAACCAGTGCAAACACCTGGCAGCTGCCAGGGAAACTGATGCCTCCTGCAATGGGCCAGGCCTGAAAACAAAAGACCATACAAATGCACCCATATCCTTGGATTTATACCCTAAATAGTTCCCATACCCCTAGGAAAGAGTCATAGCTCTGTAAGAATGCCCGCTTTCTATGTGACTCGCTTCCCCATTTGTCCTTAATGTAATCAATTTTACCTGAACTATTGATCTCATTGGCTAACTATAGTTATGTCCCACCTTATGTCCTTCTGCCTTGCAAGTTCCCAGGCTTCCCCTACCTTGAACCCATGGTTTTACTCTATAAAAGTTCCTGGAAAAGACAGAGTCCTTGGCAACTCACTCAGGACCCTTTCTGTCTCTCTTCAGACAGAAGCTTTCTTTCCCTCAACAAATGTATTCTACTCTTATCTCTGTTTTTCCTAAAATTCATTCTACAATTTTAGAGAACACGAACTTGTGGACAGTTATAAATACATTTGTAGATTTTGTCCATTTAATATTGATGGTGATGCTTTCTCAGAATTTTTGAAAGTTCCCCCACAGTATGGGAATGAGTTTCATTTCCCTATATCACTATTATCAGAGTTGCTAACTTTGGCTATTTGAAGGAAAGAAAACAGGGTCCTGCTATAGTCTTAATTTCCATTTTCATGATCACTAGCATTAAAAATGAAAGCTTTCAGATGACAAGATTACAAAGTTTGTGTAGGGTGCCTTATAACAGCAGACACACATATACACATACATATACATATACATATACATATACATATACATATACATACACATACACATACACATACACATACATATAAAATTTGAAGAGGAAGAAAACAAAGAAATGAGATTAAGATGCCCAGTCTAATCCCAGAGTCCTTTTCCAGCTCTAGGGAGTCAGACAGCGACTCTGAGGCCCCTCACCCACAGCTGAGGCACAATTCACCACAGGATGCAGGGCTGGGGCGTGGGGGCGGTTGGATCATCGCGACCACTTCTCTTCATGTCCTTTACGCTGTCCCCACGCTGGGCAGTGGCACTGACAGGGCTGTGGGCACATCTACAGTGGAAGGTCTGACTCTGGTGGCTGGAGATGAGACTATCACGTTTTTCTTTATGTATAAATTTGGTTTCGTTGACACGTTCACCACAGAAGAGGAAAAGGCCACAGTGTTGTGGGGTTAGCAAGAACAGGGCAAAGGAACTTTTTTTAAAAGAAAAACGGCATCAGTGTTGCAAAGACTTTCCACTATTCCACACCCACCCCAAAAGCCCCCTCTCTCCCCAGGAAGTGTGTTGACCACTGCAGGAATAAAAGAGTCTGTCGAGGAGGCCGACGATCACTCTCTCCTGACAGAACTCAGCAAGACCCCAACCATGAGACTTCTCGTCCTGGCCATCCTGGGCGCCTGCTGCCTGGCCGCATGCACTGTGGAAGGTAAGTGGAGAAGCTGCTTGGGAGACCAGGAGCAGGGGTGCAGGCGGGTGGGCACACAGGTTTGGGGTCTGAACAGGGTTTTGACTGCAGGAAACTGCAGCCCCAAGCTGAGCACAGACTCCCTTATGCAAACTGGGAGAGGCGATTTAACCCCAGGGCAGTTGGTAGACTCCCCAGACAGGGAGAACTGGGTTAGTATCTGGCTTCAGTTCTTCCTAAATGGGTGACTGGGGATAAATTTCCTAACCATTCTGGGTTTATGTTTACTTATCTTTAAAAATCAATGTTAAAACACTTAACAGGATTAAAAATGAAATACCTTTTCTGATTTATTTATTTATGGATTACATGTTGAATCTTACAAATAGTAAGTTTTAAAAATTAACTATGGGGTGGCAGTAATGGTTATAAATACATTTGTACATTTTACCCATTTAATATTGATGGTGAAGCTTTCTCAGAATTTCTGAAAGTTCCTCCACAGTATGGAAATCAGTTAGAGGATGTATGTCCTGAAGCAAATCAATGTTTTCTACTTGAAAAAATTAAATTTAAAATGACTGCAAGCTCATAGTTTCATATCTAGAAAATCAATGGTACCTTCAAGAAAGTGAGGGAGTGTACTGTTCCTGCTGTGAATGTTAGTTTTTGATAGGTATTTTTAATTTATAAGAGATCATGTAATAATAACTGTGACCCATAGAACAGCATCTTATGCACAATCAAATACATCTGTGTGATGCACCCAGGTGAGACCCACATATACTGAGCCATATCTGAGCATCCAGGAGATATTCCTTAAGTGATTACTTCTTTTTTCTGGCTGGAGTTAATGTGCTCATACAGATAACAATGCCGGGATTTGCTCCATGACCCAAGAGGGTCAATGTGTGAAGGTGGCAAGGTCTGGAACTCCTTATAACTGGACAAAATAAAAAATACTGATGAAACTATGAAGTTTAAGACAAGTAAGTTAGAACATGTGTTACTACATGGCTGGATCTCTGTTGAGATGAGGGCTATATCAGTGGATTCAGATCTGGGCAGGGGTGACTGGTGATTTGTAAGGATCTGATAACTGTGAATCCTGGTGTCCAGGCCTTAGGTTTTCCCCTTTGAAGGAGGTTTATAAACTCTACTGAACCTCAGCTTCTTATGAAGACACTAAGGTGAAATGGTATTTATTTGACTCAGCTCTGTAACCTTTGTGAGGAACGTTCTTCCAGCACAGACACTCAGAGGTCGCTGGGAATAAGCATTGGGGTTTGGAATACAGTAGCATCACCTGGGTCATGAAAGACAATGCTAGGTATTCACAGAAAGAAGTGCTGTTTCTCAAGTAGTGACAGAAGGAGAAAGGAATCGTCCCCTTTCACTGAGTCCAGAGCCAGTACAACTTTAAACATGAACTGGGAAGGGGAGAGGCGCTGAAGAATGTACAAAATGGCACGGAAAACAATGGAAGAGAGCAGGGAAAAAAATAGTGCTCACCAGCAACTTCTGCTTGGTCACTTGCTTTTAAAAATGCCTTTTGATACAGCAATGGTATAGTCCAAGCTTGATCACGATTCGTGGTCAGTTTAGCTGGTGCTTTTCAGCTGGATATTTCTTTGTGAAGCACATTGCCAGTATCCATTGCTAAGGAGAAGGTCAGTGCTTAGAAATTTGGATTAGCTTTTACCAAACCCTTAATACTATTAACTCTCCCAAGTTACTTTTCCCTTCTGCAGGATAATATGGTTCTCTAACCTCACAGTTTAGTTTTTCTTGGCCCATTCCCTTGAAAATGAACACTCCAGGAGACCCTCCATTTATATATTTCACATTTTACCATTAGATTGAGAAGACTTTATTCATTCAGTTAGAAACAAGCTGCTTCCCCCACTGAAAGTTCCCTGGTCCAAATTACTCTCTCTAGCATTATCTCATTTACTATAGCATGGTGACACTTACACTATGTGAAATTGTTCCCTCTCTTTGCTTGATTGTTGCCCTGACTCCCACTAGAAGATGTGATTCAGGAAAGCAGTGTCTGTGTCTGTCCTCATGAAAGCCTTCAGCGCTCGGGTCACAACAGGCAGGGGACAAATAGCTGCTGTAGAAATGGATAAGTGTCACAAGCACAGATAATGCCTTGCTATGCTGTCTCACTATGATCAGGTGCCAAATCTATATGTTTGATTTAAATTTTTAAAATTAGTTAAATATTTACTAAGACTACACAACGCACAGGAGACTAAGGTTGCCAGTAAGAACCATCTCCTCTCAAAAGGCACAGTGGACATATGTTCCTAATGCATTCTTGGAGTAATTCAACAGGTGATTATTGACTTACAGTTTTATTCATTTTTTTTAACCAGGGGTGGGAAGTGAAGTCCCCGAAAGGAGTGTCTGTGTGAGTCTAACAACCCAGCGGCTGCCAGTGAACAGAATCAAGACCTACACCATCAAGGAGGGCTCCATGAAGGCAGTGATGTGAGTGTCTCCCCGTGGTGGGCTTGGTGTAGAGAAACAGAACCATTAGGAAATATGGGTCGGAGTGGAGGGAAGCCTCCACGTCACCCTCAGCCCCCTCATTGTCCGTATTTACCATGTCTTCATGCAGCCCTCCTAAATAATGATCATTGCCAAAATTCAGCCTCCAAATAAAGAATGTAAGTAAGTCCTTTTCCAGAAGAGTCTGGCTGGAAATCACATGAGTACTGTGCCCAGCTAATGAGACTGAGGCTTAGACATGTCGGCCCCGGGTCAGGACTTGCCCACAGAGCCAGACTAGAGTGGGAAGCAGGCAGAGGGCTGAGCAGCAGTGTGCATCAGTGGTTATCAAGGGTCTGGCCACTCTCTCTCCAGATCTCATTTTTAGGAGTATCGTTCCCTCCAACATGTATTTGTAGGTTTTATTATGACATTAAAGAAACTATGTTTAATCAAAAAATAAGATGATTATATTTAGAATTGAAAATATAAAGGATATATAGTAATTGAACTACATGGTCTTAATTGTCCAGTTGCATGGCAAAATTTGCCAGCACTGCTGGCGAAAAGATCTTTGAATTATGGAGGACAAGTAGCTAGAAACTGCCTGCAAACACTTCTTCTTTATGTTAAGATAAAGGCAAGAAAGCAGTATTCATTATGGTCTGTGAGTTCCTAAAGATTGTTTCTTTGGCAAACTCTATACAAGTCTCCTTGTGTCTGGTCAAATCTCCCTCCTGATTCTGGGGCTTGGAGACTGTGACTAACTCCATCTATCTTTTCCTTGCATTACAGTTTTATTACCAAACGTGGCTTCAAAATCTGCGCTAACCCAGAAGACAGTTGGGTGAAAGCAGCAGTCAGAACCATAGGCGGCAAGTCCAACACCAGATGAAGCGGGGACCAGGTCAAGCCTACAGAAGTCCAGTGGTCCACTCAGAAAGCTGTGACCCTGCCCTGATAGAGGCCTTCCAGGGCACTGTCCCCTCCATAGCTGGCCAGCCCATGTCTCTCCACAAACTTACGGACTAATTAGGTTATACTCATCTTTTATGAAAATTCTGCATGAATAAATTTATTTTCTTATATGTTTGAATGTCTTTCATATTAATTTAGTTGCTATAATTAATAAATATTTATTATTAAGAATGAGTCTGAGGACTACTCATTATATGTAGGGAATCATAATGTATCCCTGATGCTCTATTCCTGACCTAAGGGTGTGTTTCTTCAATGGTGTCCATGGGGGAGAGTTTCTGGGCAGTGTTGATCAGAGATGAAAGCTATGTTCATTATGCCTTAGGTTCCAGGTTATAATGATTCTTCAAACTACAGTCAACTGTGACAATAATAGCAATTCAAGGTCTGTGGCAACTTGTCCTCATATCAGAGTGTTATTTATAGATTAAAGAAGACAATGATTTAATAGTCATTGCCTCTCTATTCTACAAAAAGTGGCTTCACTCCAATTTGATCTCTTGGGAATGAATTTCTTACATCTCAAGGTTCTTTTGGTCTCCTGTTAAAGGGGGAAGGGCGCAGGACTTACTGTTTCTTTCACTCCTCCAATTAGTAAAAACTAGACTTTTAGTATGAATAAAATTTATTCAAGTAAAAAAGAAATGGAATTTGCATTAGGCAACTATTTTACCATATTATGGTAGCTTCTGTTATTGTTGCTACATTAATTTTTGTATATATTATGCTTTTACTACCAATAAGCTTTTAAGGCCCCAAACACAGGTGCTTGCTGTGTGCCTGTGCTACCCAGGTGCTGTGCTGGAGAATGCAGGGTGAGCAGACCCCTGGCCTTCATGTCTTCCAGCAAGCTCACACTGGGGCAGAAGCAGAAGCAAAAGCAGAAGCAGAAGCAGAAGCAGAAGCAGAAGAAGAATCAGAATCAGAAAAACAGAAGCAGGCAGACAGCAGATGCTTTAGGAGAGTGGAATATGAGAAAGGATCGGGTTGCACGTTGGACACACAGAGCAAATCTGTGCCCGTTTCATGTGTACAAGGGTCAGGACAACTTCCCCTCAAAAATGACCCGGAGGGTGAATCAGAGTCACCCAGTCCCCATGCATCTGAGGCAAAGGTGGCAAGCAGTGCATGCGGAGGCCTGTAGGTGAGAAAGACCGAGATGCTTAAGGAAATGTGAGTGGTGTCCTGTGACTGCGGGACAGGTGGGGCGGACAGCAGGAGCACTGGGTGAGGGTGACTGGAGGGGCAGAGTCCATGACCTGAAGGTCCCTGTCTGATGGACCAAGGAGCGTACCCTTGGTTTTAAAGAACAAGGGAAACAGCATTAGTTGCCGAATAGAAGATGAAGCATAGAGAACAAGAAAGAGCCTTAGGAGGAGGCATGGATGTGGTGACTTTTGAACCTGACCTGGCATGGAGCAACCCAGAGTTCCTTTTCCTGCTTAGTCAGGGAGCACAGCAGTTGTGGAGGACTTCCCAACTGGCAGTGTGGCCTGGGTGTGCATGTCACATGCATTGGCCAACACTCAGTTCACTAATTTCTTTGGATGCAAGGAGCCAAGACTGGAATAAGGCAAAAGATCCATGGGATTTCACTTGTGACTTGCATGATTTCTTTATTAAACTCATATCAGATCTGTGGGAATAATATTAGAGTCACTCTTCCAGGAGAAGTAGGAGGTTGGACTGAAGAGCAATGATGTATTAGTGCAGTTCCCAAGCTCCATGGATCAAACCCTCCTGATTATTCAGTGTCCTGAATATTTGTTGAGCACCTGCAGAGTACAAGGGCACAGGGTCCTCTCTGTATTGTGCAGCTTAGGTGACATTACGCCACTGCCGCTTGGATGTTCCAAAGGGCCCAGCTCAGGGCTTAGCTCCTCTGGGAGAACTTTCTGATATCCTCCCTCCACTGAGGTGACATTCACCTGCCTCCTCAGCCTCAGTGCTCACCTCTGTTACTGCTCATGTCAGTACTGTTTTTTTCATCTTTGTTTTCCGTCTTATTTAAGTCCCTACTTGAGGTAGGGAGTATGAATTTGATGTCTGTGTACTTGGTGCCTGGCATAGAGACTGGGACATAGGTTCCAATAAAATGTTTGTAAATATGTCCAATCCTTTTGGTACATTTTTTTCTAGCAATTATCATGCATATAGGAGTGCGGAAGACAGGGTATTTGATTCTACTCTGTGCCTTCAAATCTGAGAAGGGTATTCCAGGAAGAAAGGATCATGAGGGTACTCATGCCAAGGAGAGCTGCGAGCATAGTTTCAAGGAAAAGGAGGCATCTATGAGAAAATGCTCATTTTCAAATAGGTTAGACAGTTCAGAGATCTCAGAGGAAAGTAGATGGAAGTTAGATTGAGAAGGCCTGGATTACCCTGAAAATTGTTAGGCTTTTAAATAGAGGGTTCCCAGGGATACCATGATCAGATGTAAGATTTAGGGAGAGTAGGAAGTGGTTGGGTGAGGTGGGGTCACCAATTGGGTCCAGGTTGGAAGAGCTGGTCACGGTTGGAGAAGATGATGTTCTGAGTTAGGCAGAAGCAGTGGAAGCTAAGATCAGGGTTCCCAAGGTAGTGCTGGGGCAGCCTGCTTACCCAGTGGGGATGAAATAGTTGGAGGAACTGATGTTCTTATGAGGTTTTCAGTTTGGGTATACGTGCCTGGTTAAGGAATAGCATAACTGCTTGGTAAGATCTTGGTCAAATGTTGGCTGTGGATACTAACAAATCTTGATGATAGTTAAAAATCACCAAGAGAGGGACTAGGGAGAAAGAAGACACTGAAAATGAGAAAAAACTGGCCATCAGCCTAAATACACAAGTGATTCAGACAAAGACCTAAGCACATTTTTATTCCCCTTTGACAGACAATCCTTTGACAAGAACAAGGTAAAAATAAGACTGCATATCTGTGAAACCCTTTATGCCCCTTGAGGGGAGAACATATAAATGGAATACAGTATCCACCGGTGAGTCATCAGTGTTATTTTAAAAGGGATTTGTCACCTGGCAGTAGGAGGCAAAGGAGAGCCAAGAGATGAATCGGTAATGAGAGGAAAGAGAAACGAGGTGAAGGAAGAGGTCCTGAGTGGGCATCAGGAGCGCCCGGCCAGGGATGAAGGTGAGGTTTGATGACAGAGTAAGTGAAGAGGCCAAAGGACTTTTATTTTCTTTCCTTGAGAGGAAACAATAGAAATGAGGACCGACCGCGGGGGCCAGAGGCCAGAGGAGGAGCCCAGAGCTGCTATTTTGAAAGCAGGAGAGGAAATTTAGAAAAAGCTCAGGTGAGAAAAACTTGTCCCCTCCTAAGCCCCAGAGAAATTTCAATTAGATTGAGTGAGGTGTGATTTTCCACTGTGCTGCGTTGCCCAGAGTAATTGCTAAGGCTCTATGGTCTGCTTCCTCCCACAACTTGTCAAGGTGGAATTACTGAACGAGACATTGGGAAGATGCTTCGCATTCTATAATAAACAAGAAATCTCATGGCCAGACTGAGGTGACCTTAGTCAGTTACCAGATGTTGTATGAGAGAGCAGTGGAGCCCTTTCCCCAAAGACTCAAATGAGGAATAGGTATGGGAAGAGGCTGGTGGGAGAGGAGAGTTTATAATCCAACCCTGTCAGAGGTCATAGGCTGTTTTCTAAACCTCAGGGCTTGCCTTATGGCATTTATTTTATCGTGCCCTGTACTGTACAGCTTTTCATTTCTCAATGAATGATTGGAAATTCTTGGCTGCAGGGACTGTGAGTTATTAATCTTTGTATTTCCTGTAGCCCTTATAGCAGGGATTTCCTGTAGACTCTGCTTAGCACGTGTTTGCAGAATTAGAATTTCTAAAGGAACGTGAGGCATAGTCCTTGTCTCTTAGCCCATATACATAGTATTAGAGACAACATCCAGGCCTAAGGATATGAGGACATAAGAGGCAGAGGTCACTGATCAACCTGCTAGATAGCATGGTGTGAAATGACTCTTTCAAAGAGTCAGCTTTACTTGATGTGGGATGCAAATTTTGTGGTATATTCTTTTCCTATCATAAATTTAAGTTATAATCCAAACATACAGTTTTCTTGGACAAATATTAAAAGATTCTTGATCTCAATGAAGTATAACTTCTAGACTTCTCTCCAGGTGGTAACCAAAATATTTAAGTAATTCAGATTGACTGAGGAGAAATTAGGGAAATCATACCTTTCACAATAGCATAAAAAGTAAAGTGCTTAGGAATCAGTCTAACGAAAGAAGTAAAAGATCTCTACATTGACAACTACATTACTCAAAAAGAAAATCCAAGGGATTATCAGAAAATAGAAAGAGATTCCTCACTCTTGGGTAGGAAGAACCAATATAGTAAAAATGACCATACTTCCAAAATTACTATACGTATTTGATGCAATCCTGATCAAAATACCAATAGCATTGATATAGTATTAATCATAACCCTCTATGTGAATCAAATGATAAATAGCATTGTAAGTAAAAATGAAAGATTAAGGGCTTGGAAATCTTTGTTCTCCTCACCAGTGATGTGTTTCTCCATCCAGTGTACCTGCTGGCATAGTGTCTGGATGCCTCGAAATAAGAAATAACACCAAATGCACTTGATAACAAATAGTTTTATAAAGTTATTGCTTAGGTTTTATTTCGTGTTTGCTGTGCCAGGGCTTGAACTCAGATCTTCTTGCTGAGCTACAATCTCTTCCCTTTAAAAATTAGCTTTTTGGTGGTTGTTGCTGTTAAACTACCAGCCTGGGCTCCAATTTGCAGTTTTGCTCAGCCCCCCAGAGCGCTGGGATTACAGGCATGCCCCACCCATCTGCATTATAGGACATTTTCTCTTACATTAATTCACCACTACTTGATGGCAAAAGGCAGGAAAGATGAGGTAGAAGGGCTGGAAATTGTTACAGGATTTACAAATGAAGACTAAGGGAGTTGAGTAGCTTTCCATGGACCCCACAGCTGAGGTCAAAACTCAGAGTTCCTGACTAGGTTCAATTTTTTTTCCTTGTATTCTTCAAACATTCTGCATTGAATATTTGATATTTTTACAATTAGGAAAGTTGTAAATAGAGTCATTTGACAAAACACACCCACAAACTTACGTTAAGTTAGCCATTCTCCACGTAGCCAAGTGCTGGCTGCCTTGGAGGGCAGAGAAGATC